TCAAATTATTTGTCTTAGCTAGATGAATATCTTTGCTTATGACCATGCTACTTTCTATTTAATGTAATATTTCATTTCACATACCGACTGGTTGGTGATACTGACTGGCTGATGATACTGACTGGCTGATGATACTAACTGGTTGATGATACTGACTGGTTGATGATACTAACAGGCTGATGATACTGACTGGTTGATGATACTGACTGGTTGATGATACTGACTGGTTGATGATACTGACTGGTTTATGATACTGACTGGCTGATGATAAAGACTGATGATGATAGCGCCATGATAGTAGCACGATGATGGTGGCACGATGATGGTAGCACCATGATGATGATCCAAATGTTCATGACGTATGCTGGTACCAGCTGGACTAAGGCACGGATCCTAAGTGACGTCAATGTTTCATGATTGTTTTTGTTAGGGCGGTGTTTTACTAACTGTTGATCACAACCCCCGGGGGGGGGGGGGGGTGGGGGTCACCTGAACAAATTTCCGGGTTCACTTGAGAATTTCATAAACCTGGGGGAAGGGGACATGTAGGTTGGGGTGGTGTGTGTAAAATGTGCATTATATCTTATTTTATTATTTTCATTTTATACTTCAACTAGTATTACAATAATGACATTGGTTTCTTGACGAATACTCCGTAGTTTAGAGAGCCCTGGACTTCACTCTAGCTACATGGAATATTCGTAACAAAACAACACAAAAGCTATGACTCATGCGTTAGATGTCAGCAGCTAATTTATGATCAATATTCGGGCCGTTTCTTTTCATAATTTGGTTTTAATAACCTCATCTTGGATTTTAATTTGCATTCATTTTTTAAAGCCTAAATGTCAAAGGCATTATATTGTATTTATTTTTAAAATATGTTACCTAACTACAGAAGATTTGTTACCAAAATTAATAATGAATAGAATTAATTAATATCATTCAAAGATTGCAATTTCAATGACTAGACATGTATAGCCAGAAAAATAATGATGTCTACAAGTAAAGAAGAGTAAGAAGTGTGACGTCACGTCAGGGTTTGCAGACACAAAACGCATTAAAATTTCGTTACTCGCGAATAATTACGGAACAATTAAATACGTTCGTATGAATAAAAGGCGAAAAAAACAACAACACGTAAATGCGCTTTAAATTTTCATTTTGAATTAACTATGGATGGTGGAGGAGAGAGAATGGTCATCTGACACGAAGACCCAGAAGTAAGAAATATTAAAAACGGTCCTTTTGAAAAAGCAGGACTGAGCCGAGCAACTCCTGCCCTAAATCTGATAGTGCGAGAAACCGATTTTTTTAGAAAGAGCTGGCGATGGAACACACCCTATCATTAATTATTGGTCACCCCAAAGACTGGAGGCTGACACTTCCCGCCATTAAGTTAAAAAAAACCTGACTGAATAGTCCGACGGTGAGGGCTGAACAGACTGAGCTTGTCATCGCCCCACTGGCACTCAGGTATGTGTGATGTGTCACGATGACCAGATAATAGGGCCACAGTGGGACTGTCAACTCATTGTTATCTTAGGTTAGCTGGGGGTGGGTGGAGGTGGGAGAATGCGAGGACAGCGGTCCTGTCGATGGCATCAAACTTACGACAGTCGTTGTCAGAATACCTTGCATAACAACCGTGACACTAACAATGCTAACTGCCCACATCAGCAACCTTAGATGATAGCGTTTTGATTGTTGGCTTTGGTTCTGTTAACATATAACCAGCGTCGCGGATTAGCAGTTCGATCTTTTGTTTGACGTGCATTGTCACTGCCTTGTCTTTAGACTGGATGCTTCACCGACATGGGTTAAAAAATGTTTGTTTTTGTCCATTGATTTATAAAAGGGATTAACATGAAAGATAGAATCAAAGAAGTATTTCCATGCATTGGGATCAATACAAGAATCTTACCTTGTTTTATTTTATAGTATACTTGTAGATATTATCAGGGCTGGGATATAGGGCAGGAGATGGACATTATCAGGGCTGGGATATAGAGGGGAGATGGAGATTATCAGAGCTCAGATATAGAGGGAGAGATGGAGATTATCAGGGCTGGGATATAGAGGGAGAGAAAGAGATTATCAGGGCTGGGATATAGGGTAGGAGCTGGGCATTATCAGGGCTGGGATATAGAGGGGAGATGGAGATTATCAGAGCTGGGATATAGAGGGAGAGATGGAGATTATCAGGGATGGGATATAGAGGGAGAGATGGAGATTATCAGGGCTGGGATATAGGGTAGGAGCTGGGCATTATCAGGGCTGGGATATAGAGGGGAGATGGAGATTATCAGAGCTGGGATATAGAGGGAGAGATGGAGATTATCAGGGATGGGATATAAAATAGGGTAGGAGCTGAGCATTATCAGGGCTGGGATATAAAGTGGAGCTGGGCATTATCAGGGCTGAGATATAGGGTCGGAGATGGACATTATCGTGACTGGGATATAGAGTGGGCGATGGAGATTATCAGGGCTGGGATATAGATTGAGATATACATTTTTTTAGATCGTTCCTTTTAGACAACTATTTTAGACCCCCAAAAATGAACATACAAACTCAATGAGGCTGGCATCAGAATGGATCCATTGATTTAGTTTAAGTTATGAATCTATTCGATAAAGACGCACCCCATCATCGCACCATCAGTCTCCTTAACCCCACGCCAAGGTCAGGGTTCATGGAAGTCATCATTCCTCTAGCACACAATCAGCGTCCGTAACCCCAGGCCAAGGTCAGCGGTCATGGCAAAAGTAACCCCTCTACGACTCAAACAGCTTCCATAACCCCAGATCAGGGGTCATGAGAGAAGTCATCCGACTAAGACTCAATCAGCCCCCATAACCCCTAGAGCTGTTGACATGCTTAAAGACACATCCCCTTGACCTTAAGTTAGTGCCTCTAGACTGACAAACTTTTAGGAACGAATCTCCTGTACAGTCGAAGACCGCACTTGACAACAGCCAATACCAAAAGGTGAGAACTTAAATAAGTTGGGAAATCAATACATCAGACATTGTCAAAGATATTTCTTTATTCTATTTAAACTGAGTATAAAGCCCCAACTCCGATATCATAATTATTTATTTCCTACTCAAATTTTCTGAAGCATGAGGTCAGAGGTCAGGGGTCAGTGGGGAATATTTTGAACGATGAGAAAACGTGTGAGTATGCCGATTAGAGAGTATGCACAATACAGACATCAAGCAATGATTCGGAACCTGAATGTGTGCAGTAATGTTGGTTGTTTTTTTTCAAAACAACTTCTACTTCACGACCCTAGCTAAACGCCATCCAACTGTGCAGTTGAATGTATCGCCTGCCTGCCGTCTCAGTGCTGGGGACGTCGAAGACTTTCAGCTTATACCAGATCTACAACGTACACGTGCGCATACCGTGGGGGAAGTAGGAGCCAATAAGTCCCAGCGATGAGAGGAAACGGACCTAATCTCTCGACGCGGAATGTCATTCTTTTACGATCCGGTCAACGAGGACGCCCCTGCGCTGATATTAGATGATGTTATTCTAACTGGTGGCTAACAGCTCTGACAATGGTTTGACCTTTGCTATCAATGTCTTAACGCAGTTCGTAATGTGTTGTTTTTGGTTCTGAAGTTTGATATCTTTTGTTTGACAAATAAGCTTCATCGTTGTATTACAGCATTCGTTAATGACACTGACAATTACATTGAAAATTACACGATCCCCTTGTACGAGATAACTATAATGACTAAATATTTGTTTGGTAATGCAGTTCTTATTACCTCTGTGATAGCCAGTTAATGGTATTGATAATTAAACAACCCTTGGAAACAAAGTAATTTGTATGAATACTTGATAAATGTAATATCCAGCAATAATGGGGGAGGAGGGGGGGGCTGAACATTTGACAAAACATGGCTGCTAGTAACGTACTTTATAAGACTCCTCTATGGCCCCCCCCCTTTTCTTCCTACAAGGCTCGCAACCGCACATTGTTTTCATGTCCCTGAACTCTAGTGATACTCTAATGCCCCCCCCCCCAACCCACCTGCTTTTCAACTGCTGAATTATTTCCCTAAAAGTCTTAGAAAAAAAAAAGAAAATATTACATCAAACACACTTGCCATATTTCTTTTTTAAAATCTTTTTTATCACAGTTATCGGGAATTTCACTTTATCTTCCCTTTGAAAAACATGGTCAACTGATTTTGGGGGCTGGGGTTGGTGGATGATGGGGCTGAGAATTTGAAAAAATGTGTTGTCATCTGCAACGAGTCTATGTGCCAAGTTTCAGCTCGATATGTTGACGGAAAGTGGGTCAAATAGCCGTCGGAAGATTTTGCCAGCCAGCCTCTCACGAACAAAAGTGAGGTGAATAGGAAGAATTTAAAAAGTCGAATGTCTAAACCATCACGAAGAACAAACAGCCAAGAATTAAAAGGTGCACATTATCTTCTCACAATGACCGCTAGGCACTTCGTCATGGGGTCAAACAACAGCCACAAACAGCTCGGATATTTCATGTCACTACACTGAAAGGTCAAAAGATTAATTAAAATCTTTTCACATCTGTAAATTAAAAAAAAAATTAAGGGATTTCATCGATAGCTGTTATGACAATAAAGGGGGGGGGGGGAGAAAGATTACACCGATAGCTGTAATGATAATAGGAGGGGAAAAAACAAATTTTTTTATTGCTTCACTATAATATCTGGAGCGCCAGAAGAGATGACTTTGAGTCCACACTTCTGGGCCAAATACAGTGGCGGCCCCGAAAAACTGGGATATAAGAAGATCGCTTTGTCATTTCTCATATGAAAGTTAATGGCTATCCTTCCTGGTCTCAATTCATCCTTTCTAAAAAGTCTATGTTTTCATGATAAATCATCTCACCTTCTCGTTCATGCATGTTGGCAAGTTATAAATTTAACTCAATTTTTGTTAATGCATAGTTGCAGGTCAAGCTTCATGTATTTGTGACTGAGATGGTTGCATGTCCGGCTTACCTGTATGCGATCCTCAGGGAGGTCCGTCCTAGCTGATAACAGCTCACGTGCATACACATCCGGGTAACGGGCCTCGTTGAACGCTCGCTCCAGATGCTCGAGCTGCTGGCTCGTGAAGATGGTTCTAAAACAAAATAAATTTAGTCAACTGTAAGGATGGAGTGGACCATTCAACTATAATGATGGAGTGGACAATTCAACTGTAATGATGGAGTGGACAATTCAACTGTAAAGATGGAGTGAACAATTCAACTGTAATGATGGAGTGGACAATTCAACTGTAAAGATGGAGTGAACAATTCAACTGTAAGGACCGAGTGGACAATTCAACTAAAAGAAATGAGTGGACAATTCAACTGTAAGGACCGAGTGGACAATTCAACTGTAAGGATGGAGTGGACAATTCAACTGTAAGGATGGAGTGGACAATTCAACTGTAAGGATGGAGTGGACAATTCAACTGTAAGGATGGAGTGAACAATTCAACTGTAAGGATGGAGTGGACAATTCAACTATAAGGATGGAGTAGACAATTCAACTGTAAGGATGGAGTGGACAATTCAACTGTAAGGATGGAGTGAAAAAATCAACTGTAAGGATGGAGTGAACAATTCAACTGTAAGGATGGAGTGGACAATTAAACTGTAAAGATGGAGTGAACAATTCAACTGTAAGGACCGAGTGGACAATTCAACTGTAAGAACCGAGTGGACAATTCAACTGTAAGGACCGAGTGGACAATTCAACTGTAAGGATGGAGTGGACAATTCAACTGTAAGGATGGAGTGAACAATTCAACTGTAAGGATGGAGTGGACAATTCAACTGTAAGGATGGAGTGGACAATTCAACTGTAAGGATGGAGTGGACAATTCAACTGTAAAGATGGAGTGAACAATTCAACTGTAAGGATGGAGTGAACAATTCAACTGTAAGGATGGAGTGGACAATTCAACTGTAAGGATGGAGTGGACAATTCAACTATAAGGATGGAGTAGACAATTCAACTGTAAGGATGGAGTGGACAATTCAACTATAAGGATGGAGTAGACAATTCAACTGTAAGGATGGAGTGGACAATTCAACTGTAAGGATGGAGTGAAAAAATCAACTGTAAGGATGGAGTGGACAATGAAACTGTAAGGATGGAGTGGACAATTCAACTGTAAGGATGGAGTGGACAATTCAACTGTAAGGACCGAGTGGACAATGCAACTGTAAGGGTGGAGTGGACAATGCAACTGTAAGGGTGGATAGAACAATGCAACTGTAAGGATGGAGTGGACAATTCAACTGTAAGGATGGAGTGGACAATTCAACTGTAAGGATGGAGTGGACAATTCAACTGTAAAGATGGAATGGACAATTCAACTGTAAGGGTGTAGTGGACAATTCAACTGTAAGGATGGAGTGGACAATGCAACTGTAAGGGTGGAGTGGACAATTCAACTGTAAGGACCGAGTGGACAATTCAACTGTAAGGATGGAGTGGACAATTCAACTGTAAGGATGGAGTGGACAATTCAACTGTAAGGATGGAGTGGACAATTCAACTATAAGGATGGAGTGGACAATTCAACTGTAAGGATGGAGTGAAAAAATCAACTGTAAGGATGGATTGGACAATGCAACTGTAAGGATGGAGTGGACAATTCAACTGTAAGGATGGAGTGGACAATTCAACTGTAAGGGTGGAGTGGACAATGCAACTGTAAGGGTGGAATGGACAATTCAACTTTAAGGGTGTAGTGGACAATTCAACTGTAAGGATGGAGTGGACAATGCAACTCTAAGGATGGAGTTGACAATGCAACTGTAAGGGTGGAGTGGACAATGCAACTGTAAGTGTGGAGTGGACAATTCAACTGTAAGGGTGGAGTGGACAATGCAACTGTAAGGGTGGAGTTGACAATTCAACTGTAAGGGTGGAGTTGACAATGCAACTGTAAGGGTGAAGTGGACAATGCAACTGTAAGGGTGGAGTGAACAATTAAACTGTAAGGGTGGAGTGGACAATTAAACTGTAAGGATGGAGAGGACTATTAAACTGTAAGGATGGATTGGACAATTCAACTCAAAGGATGGAGTGGACAATGCAACTGTAAGGATGGAGTGGACAATGCGACTGTAAGGGTGGAGTGGACAATTCAACTGTAAGGGTGGAGTGGACAATGCAACTGTAAGGGTGGATAGAACAATGCAACTGTAAGGATGGAGTGGACAATTCAACTGTAAGGATTGAATGGACAATTCAACTGTAAGGATGGAGTGGACAATTCAACTGTAATGATGGAGTGGACAATTCAACTGTAAGGATTGAGTGGACAATTCAACTGTAAGGATGGAGTGGGCAATGCAACTGTAAGGATGGAGTAGACAATTCAACTGTAAGGATGGAGTGGACAATTCAAATGTAAGGATGGAGTTGGCAAGTCAACTGTAAGGATGGAGTGGACAATTCAACTGTAATGATGGAGTGGACAATTCAACTGTAAGGATGGAGTGGACAATTCAACTGTAAGGATGGAGTGGACAATTCAACTGTAAGGATGGAGTGGACAATTCAACTGTAAGGATGGCGTGTACAATTCAACTGTAAGGATGGAGTGGACAGAGGATGAGAACTCCGGAAACGAGGGATATAAACATTCATCTATAGGAGTCGGAAAATTTTTCCAAATCTGAATCCTAAAGAGATTGAACAAACAGACATGAAAGACTCCAAACTTAAGTTATATAAGTATAATGGTAAGTATCTTGTTACCGTGACATTCAACCAATTAAATAGTGTTAGACACCAAGATGGACATGTTTATTCTGGCACTACGCCCTTGCTCTAGTATAGATTTATATTTTAAGTATATTTACAACGTATTCAAAATACCCTTGGACTTATCAGTATCGATTCCGTTGATTACCCTGATTACAAATAGTATCGATTTCGAATTGTGTACCCCTGTAGGTATTCTATTGATCTATCTCTTATCTATTTCTTCTCATATTTCAAGCTTTTCCAGTATTTTTTAACTCCTCTAGATTTTGGAACTCACTCTCCCTTCCTCCCTCCTTCCCTCACTCTTTCTCTCTCTCTCTCTCTCTCTCTCTCTCTCTCTCTCTCTCTCTCTCTCTCTCTCTCTCTCTCTCTATATATATATATATATTNCTTAAGTTATATAAGTATAATGGTAAGTATCTTGTTACCGTGACATTCAACCAATTAAATAGTGTTAGACACCAAGATGGACATGTTTATTCTGGCACTACGCCCTTGCTCTAGTATAGATTTATATTTTAAGTATATTTACAACGTATTCAAAATACCCTTGGACTTATCAGTATCGATTCCGTTGATTACCCTGATTACAAATAGTATCGATTTCGAATTGTGTACCCCTGTAGGTATTCTATTGATCTATCTCTTATCTATTTCTTCTCATATTTCCAGCTTTTCCCGTCTTTTTTATCTCCTCTCTATTTTGTCTCTCTCTCTCCCTCCCTCCCTCCCCCCCTCTCTCTCTCTCTCTCTCTCTCTCTCTCTCTCTCTCTCTCTCTCTCTCTCTCTCTCTCTCTCTCTCTCACTCTCTGCATATATATATATACATTTAAACTTTAAACATTTTCTAACGATTGATGTATCAGTTTCCCACAGATGAGACAGTCGCAAAGCAGGATAGAGTTGACTCAAATGCTGATCTCAAGCTACACAACTCATACAGCTTCTTCCACTGAGAGTATCATCATGTCAAACACTTTAGCCTTATTGTATACAGTTATATACCCACACATTGACACACTTTTTGTATACTGTTATATAAATACTATTATATACCCACACTTTAACCCACTTATTGTATACGGTTGTATACCCTTACCATGAAAGGTCATGGTATACAGTTATATCCCAAAGGATGACCAGCTTCTAGATCCCTGTTTCCCACAGGGGGGAAATTTGATTGTTTAGGGAGGAGCATTCGAACAATGAGCTGCCTAGAATTGGAAAACCAACCCTCTAGTATGATTTAACAACTTGTATTTTAAAAGGAGAATTGTTGACGTCTCAATTTAAAAACAAGCGTTCGCTCAAAGTGTTGTCAAAGTCATTGAAGTTTCTTCGGGGAATAACCATATTTTTTAATACTAAAAATTATGTATATGATACACGGGGGGCATAAGAATTTTAGAAAGGCATAGCTGGGGCATGTCACTAAAAAGATTGGTGAACACTGTTCTAGATAGTCATATACCCACATTAAATAACACCCTCAAAAATACCGGAAACACACAAAAGCCATGGTCCTGATATCCATGCATGGTATTCCTCTACCACCCTGGCTTTTGTTAACCACACAAAATCTAATGTTGACACTGAGGCTTGAGAGAAAATCTAGCGAACGAAGGTAACAAATATGTGAACGCCAATCTCAAATGATTTTGTATGCATAGCGGAGCAGTAGATGTAGCATAGCGGAGCAGTAGATGTAGCATAGCGGAGCAGTAGATGTAGCATAGCGGAGCAGTAGATGTAGCATAGCGGAGCAATAGATGTAGCATAGCGGAGCAGTAGATGTAGCATAGCGGAGCAGTAGATGTAGCATAGCGGAGCAGTAGATGTAGCATAGCGGAGCAGTAGATGTAGCATAGCGGAGCAGTAGATGTAGCATAGCGGAGCAGTAGATGTAGCATAGCGGAGCAGTAGATGTAGCATAGCGGAGCAGTAGATGTAGCATAGCGGAGCAGTAGATGTAGCATAGCGGAGCAGTAGATGTAGCATAGCGCAGCAATACATGTAGCATAACGGAGCAATAGATGTAGCATAATGGAGCAATAGATGTAGCACAGAGTAACAATATATGTAGCATAGTGGGGCCATAGATGTAGCATAGTGCAGCAATAGATGTAGCATTGTGGAGCAATAGATGTAGCATAGCGGAGCAATAGATGTGGCATAGCGGAGCAATAAATGTAGCATAGTTGAGAAATAGGTGTAGTATAGTGGAACAATAGATGTAACATAGTTTAGCAATAGATGTAGCATAGTTGAGCAATAGATGTAGTATAGTGGAACAATAGATGTAACATAGTTTAGCAATAGATGTAGCATAGTTGAGCAATAGATGTAGTATAGTG